CATACATATAAATGTTAATATAAATATAAATGTTAAATTTAAAATTGCTGTAAATAATGGAATGCTCTGCAGATTGGCCTGGTGATCTGTAGTACAGGTTCCACATAGACACCAGTCTAATGATTTTTGTCCATTTTGTGATGTGAGGAAATAAATAAATGATACATAGGTATTAGGTACGTGCCCCCAGACTTAGTCAAATTATGGTTACTTAACGACAATATTGAAGTCTGAACAAAACTGTTGCACACACACACACACACACACACACACACACACACACACACACACACACACACACACACACACACACACACACACACACACACACACACACACACCACACACACACACACACACACACACACACACACACACACACACACACATTAATTATTTTTGTTTTTAAAGTACGGTGGTTAAAGATGAACTACAGTGGAAATCGCCCTTCAAAAGAAAATCCTTCAGATTTTTATAATATTCATTTCACATTCATAAAGTAGTGTACAATCTTAAGCACCTATATAATAATGGTACTCGTATACCTGTTAATATCTATTTTAGTTTGCCAGAACAATCAAGGCTCTAAGTTTGATCGTTGAAACACAGTCTAAGTTTGTGTTTCCAATCAAGTACTACTGAGTTGTGTGTACATATACATGTGTATATATGTTACCGGAAATGTATGAAACCTAGGAATTATATACAATTACTAGGAAATGTATACAATTCCGAAGCTATATAGGAAATGTGTAAAATATTGTTCCAAACATTATTTAATACACACATATCCTGGGAAATGTATACATTTCCTAGAAAATGTATAAAATTCCTATATCGTATTAGGAAATGTATAAAACCATACTTTCTATGAATAAAATTAATACACGTTACAACGTTATAAAACACGTTGTTAAACTTAGAAACAGATTTATTATTAAGACTCCGGATGAAACAATTAGGTAACAATCACATCGTAAAATATAATATCTTCTTCCGGCTTACTAACTTAGCTACAAAAACAAAACTATTTACTAAATTTTAAGGCCCATCTAGCACAACTACTTATATTTTCTTATAAAGTTCTATCATTTGGTAACTATCTGTCAATTAAACAGTAATAAATATAAACGCTACGAATGGACATCTTCGAAGTAATACCTTTCCGTTAGCTATTTAGGAAATGTATAGATTTACTAGGAAATGTGTGTTATAAAATTTATTTCACACATTTCCGAGCAAATTTAGGAATTATATAAATTTCCTAGGAATTGTATACAATGACGGATTACATACATTTCCGTTAACATAAACACACTCCTATCGACCAATCAAATTAAGACTGATTTTGAACCGATTCCAAGAATCCTATAATGAACTGTGGTTACTTTGTCTGTTAATTCTTAATGTAATCAGAATTTCCTAGTAGTTTAGTCCTATTTTGAAAGTTTAAAAGAAAATTGATTATTTCAAATTAAACGTAGTCTATCTTTGTCAAGCTTTTGAACTCAAAGATAAGTTTTAATGATAACTTTAACTTTACTATACCTAAGTAACGATTTTGTTTCGAAAAAAAAAATGCTATGGATTTGGTTAAGTGACCATTCCATTACTCTTGAGTTTGGCGGTAAGTCAAACTCAAGAGTAATATCAGTGCAGTTGTTGACTTAATATGTGAAGATTTAACTTTAAATCTTAAAAAAATCTGGACTAACTTCTTATCAAATGTAACAAAATATCTCACTGAAAACATTATTAACAATTTAAATCTAAAAGCCAAATTTTGTTCCAAAATTCTTGATAGCAAATTACGGCTGGAAGCTTTTTTCGGTTAATCAATTAGTACAATCTAATTTTAACTAAATTGAATTAAACATTTAACTAAAGGCTTAAGCGGTTTTACTTGGTGAATTCTCGCTTTCTGCTCCAAGAATGCGGTTAGGATCGGCTGAATGCCATCTGTGTCGAATGTCGATTCTTGGAATTTATACTGGAGATATAATTCAAGTTATATGGAGCCATTTGATCTCTTAACCTTTAGGATGAAGTTATTTAATACATTTACTGAACTGAGGAAAAGTCTAGAAGAAGTTTTCTTTTTTATATAATACTAACAAAAATCATTTATTGAATGTGATTTGTTTGAACTATGTACCACATAAGTTTATCTGGTACTTACATATACGAAGGTGGATAAACAGGTCCGAAAATTAGCGTCTATTATTTTTCACTTTCTCTGATGGTTTTAAAGACATCTTGAAGTAATACATTTTGAAATTGTTGTGTCCGTCTTTTACAAATAAACCCAGCTTAGTGATACAATAATACTCGTAGGTACTAAAAGCTAAACCCGCAAAGCCAGTTTCATGATATCATTAGGGAGAGTTATGGGCAATTTCACTTGGTTTTTTAGGCGGTACTTTAGTCGAAACGTGAAGTGAATAAGTGTTTGGAACTCCTAATTCTATGTGAAGCATAAAATTAAAGAGTTCACCACACCAATCATGAGGATTTATTTTAAGGAATATAAAGTTACTAGAATGGTAAGTTACATATTTTTATAAGTCATAACATTAAGTCATCGGCGTATAAGTGCCCACTGCCGAGCATAGGCCTAGACCCACACGGAGGTTTGAGCATTAATCACCACGCTTGCTCAAGGTGGATTCGAAATTTTAAACTTATAATTAGAAGTCCAGGTTTCCGAAGGATGTTTTCCCTAACCGTATGATAGTGTCTTCGTGAACTTCGAAAGAGCATTTGACTCCGAAACACATGCTTTATGCACATCGGTACTTGTCAGGTTTCAAACTCACCTTATCCGTACTGTCACCGTAACAGTGTAGTCAAGATTTATTACATTAAATGTAATTACTAATACAAATACTATAGCTAAAGTAAATGACAAACTAAATTTACTCTCCAATCCGAAAACAAAAACCAACATTCAACTTTGATTAACCTTCACCTCGCGAATCAAAATTTCAAAAGTCTACAGAGCTAGAACATAAATAATTATCTAAATCTAAATTTAATGAGGAGCACTACGCACTAGTTAGAGCGATCCTACGTCTAATTAAACGAAGATTTATAAAGTGATCTTATGAAATTGTTATGATATAGTCAATAAAGCTCACTGCGTGATACCCCAATGAAATTTTGATGGCACACTTTGGTGAAAATTCTTGGAATTTCTGAATAGGATTAATGATACTTGATTGAATTGAATTGACATTAGGTGTTGTGTGTGATGGTTTGATTAGGTATTTATATTAAAAGCAATGTGTTTGGACTCATTTAGTTTATTTATACTTAAATATTGTAAATAAAACAAATATGTATATTATCTACCATATCCTCTCACTGCTCCACCCGAAGGTAGACCGGCAGAAAATGCCCCAAGCATTAGGTCTCGATAAGTTTTTGCACAGTTCATTAAGTACCACAATCGAACGAGAATACCGCCTGATATTTCATACTATTTATTTTCACAAAATGTAGGCTTTTTGCTATTATAATATAATCGTATAATTTATTATCTGTGTCCCGCAGTTTTACCCGCGTAGTTCACCGCGTATTTAATCCAAACAAAATCAGATCTTATTTATTGAAAATGTTGTAAGACAAAGAAAAGACATGTGTCCTCAGCGACTGTTATATTTCGAATAATATCAGTTACAGAAAGTAGGAATGAACTGAACATTGAATGATTGACGAATGATTGAAGTATGCTGTGAATGAACTTGAATATTTGTATAGGTATATACGCACCCAATGCGTATATTCCATCATTATCTATATTATTCTATATATAATATAAAATAGATTAAAATAACAAATACTTATTCAAACTATCTGTGAATATTTCAATATGTGTGGAAATGCGGGACAGTGTACCCAACTCTCAGTGCAGTCCAATATGTGCATTGTGCAAGAGATCTGCATTTGCATACTGAGACAATCTCATCATCTCATGTATAGGATCTTGGAGATTCAAGGTTTCAGCTCGTAGCTCTGCTCTGTATATATTGAGATCTCCCAACAGTGCCTTACGTGTGTGGTTGGATTTCGGGAAAATTACATAGACTTCCTTACACTACATAACCTTTTACTTTTAATATTATAAGTTGATAGTTATTGTGTCAAAGTTTGTTATAATAAGGTAGTTTTCAACTAGTCGAATTCAATACTTTTATCCAAATGTCAAAAACAATACATTTCTATGAAATTTGTATGAAACGCTGAATTACGGTGTGATGGTACTTATGTTACTTATTTCTTAAAAAATAGTTAGTAAATATCTAAAATTTCGTGTATCGATCGATCGATGAATAAAAGTAGAGTTATTCAATATTTTATTGTAATGAAACGTCGAATTAATTTATTTTTGATCTGGGAAACTAACCAATTGTCTCAGTAAATTTGACCTGTTACCCTAACAAACAATGGTCAAACTCTTTTCTGTAAATTTTTTTTTCGTTCTCTTGATTTCTTAATTTAAAAATAATGCGTCCTTCAAGAATAAATAATAATAGTATTTTTCAAGATAGGATTCGTAAAATCCCCTAACAACAACTATAATTGTGTTCGTTAGTATTCCAAGTTTTATAACTTTATTCACTGGTGTAGAAGTAACGATTCTAGCTAAGTATTTAAAACTTATTCTTGTCAAGGATTCTTGTTGAGTAAGATTCAAGGTTTCGATTATCTATTTGTTAAAATATTACTTTTATTTTTAGTGCTTGTTTTAATATATATATAAGTCTTATGGTCACAAACGTTTCTATCTCGATAGAAGTCTTTATGGAGTCCAGGACATAAAGTTACTGCGATCTTTGAAAATCCTGCGAGATAATTATTCAATTCTCTTCTCAGGATTTCAAACTCTAATTAAGTGGTAAAATATAATGTTACTTAAGTTTAATTTTTATGCAATTAAAGATTAAAATTATAAAGTCTTGATTGTTATGTGATAAATATATTTTTACTTTTGTTTATAGCGTACGAATGGTCCGGAGTGTACGGCTCCGTGCCGGCGCGCGCAGCCATCCCCACGAACCACCAGCACGCCCAAGCGAACTCCCGCGCAGCCAATTGTCAACAATGATGCCGCCGGTAAGTAATAATTATAAGTTTTATTACTAAATAGTTTAGTGGAAGAGGAAGCTGAATTGACGATACAAATCTGTTAATCTGTTAATTCTGTTATCGTGATCGATTATACGCAATGATAAGTAAGGTTTTCATGCTATCGCAAAATCAAATAACGTTTTACGAAAATGTTTGAGCGTGAAAGTTAAATAAAGTAACGTTTCCACGACCAAATATCAAAACCATCAACTTTCGAATAAAGTGACTGCTTTAAAAACGAGTAAAACAAAACACAACAATTTATACGTACGCACATACATACATTGTGAAATACATGGCGATTAACAGTTAACGCGTGGACGCATTAACAAAACAAAATTCACGCGTTCTCATTGTCACCATTTTGTTTCACAGTTAATTTGTTCTCGTTTCAAATGGTACTCTCGACGGTGCACGCCGTAAAGGATTTTGTAAATTATCACACAGTTTGGAAATTCTTTCGTGACAAATCGGTGCCGAGGTGGCTTTCAGCGTTCACCTTTTTAAAAACCCCTTTTTAGGCCAGATCATTAACAGCCTTCGTTTGTTTTAATACTCTTCCCCTGACCTTTGACCCGCTGTTGAAGTATCTTAATCAGGTTTGGTTAAATATATATCTGTTAGTTACTGTTCAATATATTATAAAATAACTATAAAATAACACACACTTTCAGCTTCATATACTTACTTAATTTCAAGTAAGTACTAGATCTACTAAAATAATATCTGTTTATTTAATTCTAGATCTCATCATAAACTCCTCCATTATTCTAGCAGTATATAGTTATGGGATACGAAATAGGTTTATTATTGATATTCTAAATGTTATTTCGGTTGTAATACCAGATAAATTTAATGTGCGTAAAAATCAGCTAACCGAGGATAGATTAATTTATTAAATCAGTAAATCATAATCCCGAATAAGTTATAACTATGTTTTTATAATAACTATCGTGAGACATACTAAATTAACTAAAATTCGCGGGTTACTCACGTGTAAATGTTGAGAAAAGCTCTACTAGTTTCGAACCACAGAGGGGTTCTTCCTCATGAGCAGCGTGCGCGGAAGTAGGAAGTTATAACTATGTTTTAAATGGAATTTAAATAATAAATTTAAAAATGAATCTTATTTTTACAAGCCAGGTGTTTCATTCATGTCTTTCAGCAAGTACATTGCCGTGACATTACAGTAACAATACATTTCAACCTGTCAAAGATACGCCCTCAGTCTATTTCTGCTTACTACCGTCCGACCGTGACCGCAGTCACGTTGACATGCCAATACCCGACACATGTAGGGTTGAAAGCTCCGAACATACCCCCAAGCCCATTTTAGGCCTGTCCAATACCCGTGTTATGTTCAACGCACGTCCCTATTTCCCGATTGAAAAATAAATCCCCTCCTATTTGCAAATTTTATAAGAAGAATTTTGCTCTCAAAATTTAAAACAGGATTGCTTAAACTTTCATTCTCGTTCATATTTAACTAAAGGTTGCAGTGAAGATTTTCTTCATTTCTGTTCAGTTTTGTAGAATATATTTTATAGTTTTATTTCTCTTTGTTATAAATAAAGCTTGCTTTGTTATCATCCGTTTAGTCTCAAAGTCATGTTATGGTTGTCTATTTGCATAAATGTGTTGACTTTTACGTTATCCAGATGTTCATCGATGTCTAGATAGGGCAGCCCTATTGTTACCGTGATTATTGGCACGAGTTACCTTACCTTGTACCCTTTGCATTTGAATTCGAACCTTATAGAGAGGTAATCTCTTCAATTACATTTGGTTCTGTTCAATATTGCTTTTGTAATGGAAAGTATTAATTTGTTTTTACTTCCAGCGATTTTAACATAACGACATAGCGTTTAGCTATAAGGAATTTATTGTTCCGTAATGTATTCGTGTATCTAATTGATTAGGTATATGTAATAGATCTGCTTTTACAAGAATTTACTTCTACCTATTTATATCATTTTCTTTTTGAAAAAAAAAGTTAAACAATCATTTAACTGATATGGAAAAATGTTTGATGTTAAGAAAAATTGTGGTTGTGTAAAAATACACAATATGAACGATCGTCAAACAACTAAATGGACATCATCTTAGCGATTTCAATGGTTCTCGGAAAATATATCGTGTCGTGTGTCACTGTGAATCGAAACAGATTAATTGGATAGAAAATATAACTGCGTGTCTATCAATTTCGCTTCGTTTAACGTATCAATTAGAGCCATCGAATGCTGAGTTGAAGCGCGGTTCTTTTGCGGTTTTTTACCCTCAAGTGAAAGGGAAACTCATGTTAAATAATATACCACTTATGGTCTTATGGAATTGATTTCCAGATAGCAACAAATACTGTCTCAAAGAATTCCGTGTCCGTGTCTATATATTATCCATCGAAGAAGTTCGTGTAGTCAATTTATTATTCAAATGCGTTCAATTTATAGGCCACAGGTAGAGCTAGCGGGTTGACATGCAGGCTGGCTTCGAGACTGGAACCGTACGTGCAGCCCACATCACCATGAATTATTTAGCAGCAGTGGGGCAAGAATATTATGATCGTGGGTTCTAGCCTGCTATTTAGAACAAAGTTGTTTGTCCTTAAAGTACAATGGTTTCATGTTTGAGCATTAGTTTGCAACGAGAACCTAAGTAGCGATCGCTAAGTACGTTCCAGAGAAGTAAGTAATGGTTCATTAAGGAAACAGCGTCCCACAAGTGCTCCGCTTAGCAGTATTCATCGATCTATGTCCCCCGTGTAAATAAATGGGATAAATAAACCTATCTGCTAGATAGGACCCGTATCTTCGCATAGAACGCAAATCTACATATTGCCTTGACACGAAACTCTGAAAGCGAATGTCTGAGTGGTCTATTTATTCCCATGACGGTGTATGACAAGTATTCAAATGTTTTATGTTACACATTCTCCAAAGAACGGAAGCCTTTTTGAAGAACTTTATATGAACAGCATAGAGGATAAAATTATTTAACAGTAGTATGTAACTTGGGGCGTTGTAATTGACTAAAACGAATTGAAAAGAAAATAAGTACTTAAAGAAGTTCGTGGAATGGTTACCTACCTACATATATTTTTGCCATAAAATACGTCCGCCATGTGTCCTTTTACGAGTGTAATTTAATAGCAGTCGAGCATAACGCGGTCTGAATGGATATAGCTATCATGATATAACATATTATCTTCGATTATATGGAAAGTTACCGTGTGATGGGGGCAGAGTGAAATACATTTGTTGTTAGATCTACTCTTTCCGCGGGTGCTGTTAGATTGATCGAGGGAATATTCAATAAGCAGAGACAGGACAGCAGCACTCTCTGATACACCTGAACCTTTAATTAGCATTTTTTAATGGAATAATTCGGCAATCGCGCAAACGGATTACCTGATGGTAAGCAATCGGCGTGCCCATGCGACACCAAAGGAGTTACGAGTGCGTTGCCGGCGTTTTGGGGATAAGGGTTGCGGATATGCAGGAAGGATTGGGAAAGGATAGGGGAGGGGGAGGGATTGGACATCCGGCAACCTCACTCACACGGCGAAACACAACGCTGTGATTTTATATAAAAGAGCGGTTTATTTGTGGACTGACAGCCTGTAAGATATGTGATACTAAAAATATTTTTTAGATTACTCTGTTCGTTAGTAAATATACTATCAACAATTTCCTTTGACATTAATTAGCTTCCAATATGATCATTATTCGGTACAAAACAGAAAGCAATTAACGGAAAATACATAAAGTTGTAGCCTATTTTACATATTTTAAACTCGATTTTCCGTAGGGGTGTCACGAAATGAATGCACGTGAGCCCGAGGCTCGCGCTGGTCAGGCGTTAAACTGGGCCAAGGGCGGGGGCGGGACCTTACCTGTCTAGTCCTTCAAAATAGAATGCATACAGAACAAAATTGCGAACGACATTCACCGCTAGGGTTTTATCGATGTCGCTTTGTTTGCCCGAAGGTCAGTACAGTCTTTGTCAAAGGATAATTTAGCTCAATAAAAGCAAATTTGGATCATCCAATTCAAGGATGATACGAGAGATTTTTTGGCACTGGAGTTCAGTTTTGACATGTATTCATGAATCTTCAATTAATAGGTGAAACTGTTAATGTGTATGGAAGAAGATTGACATGTCCTTTGGCTTTATAAAATGCAGAAAAAAATTCAGTTATGTAATGATTGATTACTTATTAACTTTATTGTGTAATGGAAATGTCTGATTATGCACCGAAATAGTGTCGCATTAAAATTATTCAGATATGCAATTTTATTTTATTAAGCTGACGGCTTAGTGCTGGGAAACAGCGCAATGGACTGGAGCCATGCTGACTGTAGTCCGCAGCATTTTGATCAACAGAGGCCATTTTTCGCTATGTTGACGTGGATTTTTTCATGCATTTTTTTAAATATACTTTAATGGTATATTGTTTTATATTTCGTTGTATCTAATGAAATTGACTGGCTTAATTTAAAAGCAACCGCGTTAAGGTTATCCATACAATATTTGTCGTTCTACGGAGTGCATAATAATATGACACAGAATAAACGTAAAAAGCAAGGATTATCCTTGTTGTGGTGGTGGCTTATGATAGAACCATTAACTTTTATCCATCTAACATAATTTGAAGTCAACTATAAAGTTAGTAGCCGTTGTTTTTCAGTTTTAAAAATACTGGGATAACATAATATACGTAGGTATATTATATCTCTTGGAAATTATTTATTAGAACAGAAGTTGGTAGGTATGTTTCTTGTGATCCGTAGAGTGATACTGATTTGATTTATTGTTTACTTATGTATGACATCGTTTTGAAAGACGTACCTACACAACTTTAATGAATTATACATCAGTTTACGTCTGATTCGAAATTAATTTATCTCCGGCCTCGTTAGTATTCCAAACTCGTTGGATCCTTTACAACGTTTTCTGGTTTCGACCCTCCTTTTATCCAGTTCATCCAA